AAAGGAAAWTGTCTTTGTTTATGCCTCACTAAATTCTTAGTTAGTTGATAACTAAATCTTATTAGGCGCCAATTAGTTAAGAATTGTTTCATGCTTATGTGGTGTGCACTCTATGACTAAAGTTCATTGGTGTTACAGGTTCATTGGTCTCACTCTATTCCTTTAAGAAGTATCCACATTGTTATTGCCTTGTTTGATGTGGTTTATTTAAAGGAAAGTCTGGCTTGTGGGTACTGACTGAGCAACCCATCCTGAGACCTTGTATAGACCTAATCGGCTAACGCATTGCAGCTTATGTACGTTACCATCCAATTCAAATCCTGTGGGAAAATAAACTTTTGTTTCTATAAGAATTCAACTGTAAAATGAAATACAACGAACAATGAAACTTACTCCYGGATGGTTTGAATTGGGTGGAAACGTTTTATAGCCGATTAGATCTATTGTTCAATGCATGCTCTTATTTCGTGTGTCCTCTGTGATTATTTTTACTCAGGTTCAGCCCTTATGTATTGTGGCTTACTTGCAAGTTCCATTCTCATGCTATCAAAGATGCCCCCATTTATTAAAGCACAGGAARCACTAGACATTTTTACTTTTTGAACTTTATTTCATTATAAAACTGAATACATATGCTCTATCTACTACATTGACTAGACTTTTATTTGAAATTTGTTTACAACAGACACTGTACAAATACTTCAAAATCTACTACTTCAAATTCCCCCRTTCTAGATCAACCATCTTTTGGTAATATTAAATGTTTTGTTTACAAAGAAATGGCAGCTTTGCACAGCGTATAGCTTCTGGCAATATTATATATATATATATTATGTGTCGATTGCTCAGCAATTTATATGCTTGCTGTATGTTACTTAATCCCCATGTTGTCATATTTGAAATGAGTTGTTATAGAGCAGAAATAAAACGACTAATAGAGGAACAATTTCTCTATGAATGTTGAGTAATGATACAAWCTGTTCTAATGCACAACTCATTCAGGTCTTTGAAAGTTGAGAAGAGAATAATCTGTGAAGAGCTTTTAAGATGAAAACATTTCATTAAAAAATACTGACTTMACAGCTTCAAAGTTATAGGTTATTTTTTATGAAATGTTTCCCTCAATAGCCCTTTAACTGAATATTTCAGCTCTAAATGAACTGAAAGCCCACATTCAAGCTAATCCACCAAAGTTTCAGAGTGTAAGCAGTGTTATGTTTGGATGAGTATACTTTATACAGGCTTTGATGACTTGACTGACTACCTTATATACAGCTTAGATTAGTTTTACGCTCTAAATATTAACCTATAAGSTCTTAATTTCAATCAAATATAAGATTTCCCAAAGGCCTCGATGAAGCATGTTACAGACAAATTGTTCCGTTGCAAAGTAATTTGGCTTGTTAGCTGAGTTCTCACCTTTTCTTCATTAGAAATGACAAGTTAATTATGAGTCTCAAGATTTTGAAAGGTTTTCAGTTGCCAACCATGAATCAGTAACACACTTTATCAAGTAAAATCTAGATGCCCAAGGTATAATCTAAATATTATATGTGTAATTAAGATATGGAGGTTGTGGTATCAATATGCAAAACAAAATARCGAAGTTACTAAAAATCACAAAGGAAAGCATGAATGGACATTATTAATATGCTTGCATGACATTTTACTATGAATCTTATTATTAACAATTTTGAAAATAAAAATTACGATATTTTACTTATTAATCTCAAATAAATTTATCTTTATAATCATACTTTTTATCTGTTTGACACCTAACGTTTCTCTTACTTGCAATAATTATAATTATGTTAATGGGGGTTATTGAGAGTGTTTACATTAAAATATGAAATGGTAATAAAACAAAATCTCACAAATTTGTAGATTGTGCCTTTGTTTTATCTCATTTACTATGTTTAAATGCAGTTATAATGTAAAGATATAACAAGCAATACAGTCAGGTTATCAAAAAAATAACCCAAGAAATAAAATCATAAGGATTTTTCATAAAAATAGTTAACTTAAACACTGTTATTTTATATCTAAAAAGACTGCCCTTTTCAATCATCTYTTGTTAAAATATCAGCTAAATTACAATGTCTAACATGCATTTACAAGACAAACAAAAAATAATCAAAACCAGTTACAAAAATAAATTAAACTTTGGTGAAAATTGGAGTCAATTGTTATTCAGAGTGCKWTGTTGATCATCATAGAAATTYTYCCAACAATAAAAATGGATWTGATAGGYAAGGAGAATTTTGTGTCCAATAAACATTGAAGAGTAGTATTTTGAGCTAGTTGTTGTGTGGTTTTCACTGACTATAACTATCTAAATAATATAATATATAAATTTCCATTTCTCATTCCCTCAAGTAATCATTATATTGCTGTTGTATTTTTGCCTTAGTTTTCTTAGCTCTTGATTAAGAGAGCTAAGATCCTGACAGGCATATGTGTTCCTTTGTAAAAAAAAAAGGTAAAACCTTAATCTAAATAGTTTTCTTCASAGTTCCCTAGCTGTTATCTTAAAAGGCAGCTATGCCATTATATTAAAACAAGACAACCAGAGACCATACAATGGCAGACAGTTGTGAATAAGTATCTGTCAACAATTATCAATTGTTGGTGTAAAATAAGGATTTTATTATTACACATATACTGGTCATCTTGCTTCGATACAAAGGCAGAGATAGAACTTTCAAGATGATGTAAGGACGTAATGAAGTCATTTGACAGTGTACAATGAACTGATACCACAGCGAACATATCATATACTGCTTGATATCTGCAATCTAAGTGAGCATCAAATAGACCTTCGACTAAGGCAAAAATGCACCAGCAACTGATATTTTAATCTCTCTATACATATGATTACTTTTCAAAGTGCTAAAAGTAAAGCCAAGCTAAACATCATTATAATTTATATGCATATATTATTGCACTTACTTTGGATCCCAAATATTGGGATAATAATAACACATCATTGATGCAAGCCGATCTATGAGGGCTTTCTATACAGAATACTCAAACCCTGCTAACATTGAGCTTTTGCCGGATATATAAAGGAGCGATACTTGATAATAGATAAAGAGCTATTGTTCACCATATAAAATTGAATCCAGTTTAGATGTCATGATAAGGTTTAGATGCATTTCCAAGATAATTTTACTAAGTTACACTAAGTAAAAGGGAAAAATTTGTGTTGTGAACAACTTTAAAAAAATATGAATACTGCTACAAAAAAATAACTTGATCAAAAGTCAAGTTCTTTTAAAGAGGTCCAAAGAGTCCAAATTCCAAGGAAACAAAAGGAGAAAATGGAAAATGATCATTCTTAGTTTGCAGATATTAGTGAACTTCTCAGAAAATTGTTTARAACAACAGATTTAAAAAGATAAGGTACGTATTGTTAAATAATTCTCTGAGAAAAAAAAATGAAAAGGAAAAAAAGAAAATCATTTTCCTGAAATCTTAAAATGAGAAATTGTCGCAATTATTGAAAGAATGTGAGAAAAGCTTAGAAATTTGGGTTGATATTTTTCTTGATTTTAGATAGCTTCCTTTGGAAATTTTTGTTATGAAATTATATAAAACAATATGTGATCACTATGTGAGTCCAACATGTTAAAACAAGTTAATACTACAGTGTGTCTAAACCAGTTCTTCTAATAATGGCTCTAATGTGCRTAAAATAAAAATAAATAAAACCCTCTACTTGAATCTATATATATATATATATGTGTGCCTATAATATTTCTATTGRGATAGCCTTTGTACATAAGTTCCCCAACCCCTCCCGTGTTGGGGGGGCGTTGGGCAATTTTTTTCCCTACAGAAGGAGGTGTGGGGAATCAATGTACACAGACTATTTAGGGGTAGAGATTTGAAAATTTGCATTTTGTACACTTCTTCAAGGAATTCATAATTTGTGATGGCTAGTAAATTACTGTATCTACTCATATTTAAGGTTAAGGGATTACTTTGATTATTTTATACAATACTCTTAATTTCTTGAAGCAACGTCCTACCTTGTACAAGCTTTTGTTACAAGAGCTCAATGAAAAGTGTGACAATTGAATTGTTATTTGTAGTATACATCAAATTAAAGAAGCGTTGCCACAATTAAAATGGAGACAATAGACTTAAGAGTTTAGATGATAGATCTTTAACCTATAGTCTACCTTTTTAATGTGTTTTGTTTTTCAATTTGAAGTATACTTAGTAAGATAGTGTTCTACCTAATGGCGAGGAATGCATTAATCAAACATTGACAAGATGTCTTCGTTGTGATCAGAAGGAGTTAAGTATGAAAAAAGCTCTGATGGATCCAGGTTTTCTGGCAGATCCTACAAAATAATAGTAAAAAGCCAATTAATATTTAAAGAATATAATCAATAGAATACAGTGATTAATTCATCAACAGAGACATGGAATTCTTGTTTGCACCCAGGTACAAAAAATATTGGAGATGTAATAATCTTACGAGTCTTGACAAAAACTGTTGTTGACATCTACAAGTAAGGATCTCCAATGTATATCAATGAAATTATTARAGAATTTTTGAGAACATTATAGAAGGTCTAGAGTTGTTAAGTGTTTTTTAACTGTTCTCATTTGGTGTCGCTATTATAGTACCATTAGTACCTGCTACAACGAACACCTCGATATTGCGGACAKTAAAATACTGAATCCCYGGCRAAAAATACAAAGAAATGACTGAAAGTAATTCTCGTTACTACGGACTCTCGCTACTGTGGACACTAAATTACAGTCCCGAGGGTGTCCATAACAGTACTTTAATCCAACCATTGCTATACTTACATCAAGTGTACCCTCAACTTCACCATTATCTCCTGTATTACTGCCCAATATTGACTGATCAAATTCAAATTCATCAGGTAAGTTTTCTGAAGTGAGATCAGGGGCTGAGTTATCTGTCCCTGAACCACAATTATTAGACAATGACGAGGATGTTGACGTAGCAGTTTGGTCRAGAGAGTTAGCTGTCGTTGAATGTGTTGTCGGATTATTTAGACTTGCAGCAGGAGATTGAGAAGATGATGGTGTATTTGGATTATTTTGGTTGCTTGGACTATGGGTTGATTCTCCTGTAAAATAATAACAAAATAAGCAAGATTCAATTAGATTTAGTATTTTGTGCTTTAAGACCAAACATAGTGTGGTGAAATCAAGATGAAAATAATATCAAAGTCTTGTGAGGCCAAAATACTCGTAATATCAAAGAGTATTGCCTTACATTGTCAACAAATAAAGATGGTTCCCTGCTAGCAGAGTTTTATACAGAATCTCTCTCATTGTAGTTCCTGAGAAGTAATCAAGTGYAATCAAGTTTCAGTACCTGGATTACTACTAGGCCCTTGATCATGATTATTTCCATTTTTAGGATCAGTGGGTGTGTGTCCAGGCGGAGTAGGTGTCCCAACACCTCTATTWGAAGGAGGCTGTGTTGACGAATAAGGAGAATAATGTCCTGTGGATTGCTGCGAGTTTGGACCCATCAAAGGTAATGAGTCAGGAGGTGAAGGACGRAGTTTCTTAGTTGCTGGTCCTTGACAGTCTTCTTCTTTGATCTCTTGTTTGACAGCAACTGGATTCCACTGTATATTATGATCAATAGTAACTTCTTCTACTTCAGACCTACAAAATAGAAAGATAGTTTAGTAACCTGAAACTGTTCTGAAACATATCTGGTATTTCAATCATTCTCTTGAGATCCAAAAGACAGCCATGTTGGTTGAATAAACAATAAACACTAAAGAGAAATCTTTTGATTAAATATAAACAAAATTACTCTTTGTCAGTTGACATCACGGCAGGTCTCTCATCAGTATCTATGGTTCATACAACTAAGACAACAGCAAAACTACTGTCTTTGAATCACAAAAAAATAATTGAAAAACCTGCATTAGAAAGCACTTCATTGGAGTTTTGCATTTACCGAACTCCTTCAATAGTGAATTTTTCACTTACGATGCTAAAGATGTGAGAATTCCCCATACAAACTGATCAACTTCTAATCCTTCAAGTAAAGCGGTTTTACTGAAATGAAAAAAACGTCAAGATGTAAATAAATTGACACAAAATTGAAGAAACAATACACTATCACAGGATATGACATTTACAAAAACTATTAAACATGGTAATGAAATGACTTACTTGCAAACTGGACATTTCCAACTCCCTCTTTCACAGTTGAGTCTTAAGTATGACTCTAAATCAAAACACTGYAAAAAGACAATTGAAATTAGGCTTATTATAGGGATAGTCGAACAAAGTCTACATTATTTCTATTAACAATTGAAATGTTTATATTAGCGACCCTATATGTTGCTATGTTTATAATCAGTCAGAATTCCTTCACATCATTGTAAGCTTTCAAGATGAATGCTTTCAGCATGAACTCCTTTAAATAATATATGCTTTACCTGTATATGTTTACATTCATTGCCTCTTGCTGGTAGCGTTATCCGTCTAAATGTAATTGGACATTTTAGGGACACTTTTATAGCTGTTTGTTCTACACCATCGTCACTGCTACTACTCGTAGTGGAGCAGAGAGCAAAGTTCTTTTTAACTGAAAAGAGAGTAAAATTATTAGAGGAATGGATGAAGAACAAACCAAATATATATACCAATGAATAATTCAGTTTTCAGTCCTGTTTTGCTCAGGTTTTGATAGTCTTCTTCATAGTTTCGCTATGTCATCTTTAAAATGCCTTGATATCCATGAATAATAAATGAGTGAGAAGACTTACCTTTATTGATACAGTGTTCAGCTGGGAGAAGCCGTTTTCTAAGAAGACTTTGTAATACAGAACTGACAGATGGACGATGAACAAGTTGAAGTACGAATAAATGAGACTATGAAATAAAAAAAATATATAAGTTTAAATCATTCTTAAAAACAACTTGATCCTTAATAATAATAAATAATTAAATGAATGCTACTTACACAACAGCAAGCAGTCACTGTGATTTGTATTGTATTTCTGCCTGGTTTACATACACCCTTTAGATGTAATGGTTTATGGGCAGTTTTATTTTCACCCTAGGAAAAGCATAAATAAGTGGTTATTTACAAGTAAAGGAGATGACAGAATAAATGATAAAAAAACAGTTATTAAACACAAAGAAACACAGARCAAAGACACATACAAATGAATAAATTACTAGAAAACAATWAGAGYATAAATTRATAATTATGAACACAAGCTCAAGTTCACAGGAGACTGAGTGAATTAGCRAKTGATAGATTTGTCCCTCTTCCACCAACAATCTTCAAGTTAAAATCAGCAAAAGTAAAAAGCACAGARACAAGCAAAATAAGCACRACAAAACACAAAGAAGTAAAATACACAAAAATAAACAACAAAACAAGCAGACAAGGACACACAAAAAAGTGCAAACTAAACAGGCTAAGTACCAGATAAACATGACTTACTCTTTCTATTTGTAATGGAGTTGCATTAACACTGACCGCTACAGAAACTGGCCAGTTAGTATTTGTTTGTTTATCTTCATGATGATAACACTTAAATTGAAGCTCCAAATCCGGTCTAAAGAAGCAAAAACAAAATAATTAAAGATCCAGAGTAAATACATTATYCCTAACTCCTCAACAACTCAGCATTACCAAGAAGCAAATGATCAAAGCCATTACCTTTGCATTAATGTTTGATGTACAGAATCTCGTAAATGGAARACATGATTACTGACGGCTAGATTATGCTCCAGTCTGAAGGCTGGTAGTACGATACCATCTCTTACTGGAAATGTTAATCTGATGACATCATTTTGAGCTGGAAAAAAATATAATAGAAATTTTAGCACTAAAAACCTTAAATTTGTCTGCAAATTGTCTTGGAAATAAGTTGACTATCAGCCAGGTGACAATAAGGTTAATATACACATATTTGATATAAAGGAAACAATACACTGTGTCAACTTTATTGTGAACTTACGAGGTCTTAATCTAGGTTTAACATCTTCCATAACAGGTGGTGATGGAGCCATCGGCTGTATTCCTGTTTTATTATAATTAAATACTGGGCCACTCCCTTCTGATATACTCATATATGGACTGGACATTGACCCTGGCGTCATTGGACCACCAGGCGTCATTGGACCACCAGGCGTCATTGGACCACCAGGCGTCATTGGACCTCCAGGTGTCATAGGACCCCCAGGTGTCATAGGACCCCCAGGTGGTGACATGGCATTGGCAATGGACGGAGTTGGTGCAAAAGGTGCCCCATTTTTTCGCCGTCTTGGCCCCGCCCTTGATGATGGAGGGCCTGGTTGGCTGTACATTCCCATAGGGTTCATGTTTGGCCCTTGGTTCATTCCCATTCCACTGTTAGGTGGCATGCCACCCATCATCCCCATTTGATTGGATCCATTTGGTTGATTGACAGGTCCTGATATTGGATTCATTGTTGGTGTATATGGTGGGGGAGGGGTGGGTTGYTGTTGRTATCCATTCTGAGATTGGTAGCCTGGTTGTTGCATAGGGTAACCTTGTTGCTAAGATACGAAAACAAACAAGCATTAATAAAGCAAACCTGCGTGTATCAATAATACCTAGAATGTATATTGTACCTTTGTCTGCTAGTTGACGGGTAAAGAATGACGATGACATAGAAAATAATAGTGAGGAAAAACAATTATTAGGGCAAAACAATACAAAACAACAAAATAATTTAGGTATTAATTTACTATTGACCAGGTGACAATATTTTACTTTTCTCAGTCCTCATACTGACACATATGAATAACCATTAAAAATAACCAGGAAAAAGAAACTAGACTTACAGGTCCAAATTGTGAAGGAGGACCATAYTGTCCATGTTGYTGTTGTTGYTGCTGTTGTTGGTGTTTATATTGCTGTAATTGCATCTGTTTTTTCATCATAAATTCATGTAGATATTGCTGTCTATTCATAGGATGTTGACCTCCTTTCATCATTGGGTTATTAGGTGGTTGGTTTGGCTGCGATGGATGTTGTTGCATACCAAATTGATCTTGCTGATAGCTTGGAAAACTTTGGCTGCGTTGGTAGGGTGGTGGAGGGTGTTGTGGGTGGCTATTTTGATTATTATTGGGGTACTGACTTGGTGGTCCCTGTCCAGGTGGGAAACCATATCCCATATTTTCTAAAATTGAAGCACAATGGGAAAATTGAACATTTCAAATAAGGCAATACAAGCAGTTTCAAACACTGTAAAAGTCATTAAATGTGTTAGTAAACCATACCTGGCTGGTCAGTTAAAGCTGCYGTTGCAGTGGCTGTTGCTGTAGCAGTGGCTGTTGCAGCAGCAGCAGCAACGGCAGCAGCTGCGGCAGCTGCAGCTGGATTAGCAGGAGTTGCTGGGAATGGTGATGCATTTGGTGGGGCATTCGCCTGCTGGTGTGGATAAGGCCCTGCAGGATATGGTCCATTGTTTTGGTGTACATTTTGACTTGGTCCCCCAGGAAAACTATGCTGTCTTTGCATGTAAGACGACGAGGTTGTATCTGGCATCATCCTTCTTTGTGGGTACCCTCCTTGAGCTCCATATTGCTTAGTGGGGTTTGCAGAGGTTGTTGGGAAGGGATGGGTTACTGAGTTAACAGTATTAGTGGTTGGTACATTGGGCATCATTGAGTCATGCGTCATTGAATTTGTCAATGATGAGGTCACTCCCCATACTGTAGTAACAACTGATAATGCTGCTTGCTGCTGGGTTGTCTGTGGCCACATTACTGTACCTGTATCAGCACTGAAAGAAAACAGAATACATGAATTAATTCCTTGTGTTTCTCAGTCTCAAGTCATTGTTTATGATGTCGACTATTTTTTCTTCCAAATGGCATTGCATTTTACAAAGAGGTAAAGCTTTGACCAAAATTTGTACTTACCCTGGTCCCATGGGGTTCATTGCATTCATTGGRGGCATACCCTTAGGCCCCATTTGAGGTGGATATGGTCCAGATTTCTGAGAATCGTTTCTTTGCTTTTGATGCCGTAGTAATAATAATCTTCCTAATTCTTCAGACCATACCGATAACATACTTGCTGACTTGGGGGTGAACTTGTCTCTATGTGCCGCACATACAGCTAGAAGTCGATACCCAAGATCAAGATCATAGCCAGCAGTACCAGCAACATTACTAACAACCTGCAAATAATTTCAAATAAGAAAACAATGAATATACTATAATATGACTTTGAAATAATTCAGAAATTAGAGAATGAAAGGTGCTCTCATGGAAAAAACCTCTTGAATATCCATCAGGACTCAGAAAGACTTTGCCTCTCTAGCTCCCACAAGTCTTCATTGCCCTCCTTTTGATGTGTATGTGCAATGTCCCCAATACCAAGAGTTTGAAGTTATTTTTAAATGACAACTATTTTGATAAAAATGTCATAGAAGCATGTGCACAGCTTTCACTTCATGTATGACTGAATACCATATGAATACATATATGGG